TGGTATTTTTGCTTCAATGCTAGATAAGTACTCAAGGTGCGTGTGAGGAGGATTGGAGGACAGATTGGGTGAGGACCCAGTGTGTTGTAGGTTGTCGAACACGGGCAAATTGTTGCGAGAATTTGGAGATGACTTTTCCCGATGGCCATTGAAGAGTACTTCGAAGGGTTAGAGGGAGGGCGTGGATTCCGTGGAGTCTTCCGGAACGGTGGTCTATGAGTCTATCCAGCCTTAGGTGAAGGGGCGATTTTAATACCATCCAATTCAATTAGACCATTTCACATGGATTCCGTGGAGTCTTCCGGGACGGTGGACTCAGTTTCACATGTTTTTATTTGGATTGATTCCCGTCCCAATTCATATCAGATCAATTCAATTAGACCATTATATCCCAATTAGATTAGATAAGATTTAATTAGATCATCAAATCTGACTCAATTAGATCAGATCAGACCAGAACAAACTTGAACGGTTATGAAAAAAATCACAAAAACTAGATATTTATCAGATCAGATCAAAGCGGATCGGACCATAACAGACCTAAAAAATCCAATCCAAGTAAAAACATCTTAATTTTAAGGGATTGATAATTTGGTTATATTTTTAATAAAAATTCAAATTTATGTTTCCAAATTTCAAACGAGGTTATCTATCACATAAAGAGTCCGTTTGGTAACACTGAAATCAGATGAATCGACTGATTCTACTGATGAAAAAATTATATTTAAATATATTTTGTTAATAAAATAGAGAAAAAGTATATATGAAAATAACTAAAATGGTCCTCTATAGAGAAAAACAGTTTTCACTCACGCTCAACTTTACGTTGCAGTGTCAAGATTTACCAATCGCAACGAGTTGAAAATATTGATCTATGCTGAGGATGATCAACGAAAAGATCATACTACTAATATAATGTTGTTTACAAAGAAGTCTTTCAAAATTTGTAATTTCATTATGAACACTTATTATTTACTTACCACTTTGTACTTTTAAATGTTATAACTCCTTTATAATATTTACATTTTTCCTTCTTTGACAATGTTTTCATCTCTCTTTATCTACGGACTACGGACACTAATTATATTACATACCATTTTATTCTAAGCACAATTATTTATGCGCGTTTATAATAGAAGTTTAGATCACACATTGATAAATTTTCATCCGTGCATCGCACGGGTGAGAATCTAGTTGTAACAAACGTAGGTCGTAGCCCCAGAGTAAGTGTATACGGAGTATATATTATTGGATCGTTGTACATGAAAAACACACGAAATAAAGACTGGATTTTCAGCCCCCGATTTCTTGTTTAATTTCTTGTTTAATTAAATGTCCTCAATAATCACACAAATATAGATACAAAAATATTCATATATATATATATATATATATATATATATATATATACACACACACACACAATATATAATATGTGGGGTTCTACCCCACCCCTACCACCTTGTACGTGCAGCTTTTGCACATTAGTGCGGGTAGGGGTAAAGCCGTAAAGGAACGAGCACGGGTAGGAGGTGGAGTAGGGATAGGATGGGTGTATGAGTTCGGGTAGGGGTAAGGGCACAGGTAGGGGGTAGGGGTGGGCAAAAATACCGGAAAATCGGTATACCGCACTTACTGTACCAAAAAATACCGGAAAATACCGAAATACACCGTCATTTTCGGTACGGTATCATACTGTACCGGTCTATTTCGGTACGGTAACGGTAAATGTTTTCAAATACCGCGGTATACCGGTATAATACCATACCGACTCCCTACTCAACAATTACTTTTAATTCTAATATATTGTAAAAGTCCATTACAATTTTGAACCCCAAAATTAATACTTAAGTTGGTTACAAATACAAAAATAAAGGCCCAATTTCGCAAGCCCACTATAACATTATAGGCTTCTACTACGCTAACCTTAATATATGACTAATGAGTAATGTACAAATGTCAATGAAAAAGTCCATTTTGTTCCAAGAGCTTGCAAGTCGTGATGGCCGGACCGCTAAGTAGCTGACGAGTGAAGAGAGATATACTTATGTGACAAGTGTATCTACATAGGGATTCCGCGAGTCGAGACACACAACTTTGTCTGAAAGTCTTATTTAATTTTTAAAAAATTATAAAAATGACTAAATACACAATATCATATTAGGAATAAATGATTTTATATCCATGTTGTTTGAATAGTTTTATTTATTTTTGTTAGAGATCACTATTGATTTAATTATATCTATATTATTCAAGTTATTTTAGGAGAATGTGTTACTTTTTAATGTGACATGTTGAACTGCTTAAATATACTAATAATAATTATTGTTCAATATTGAATTGACAACAATAGATTATTAATTGTATTTCGTAACATTTTAATAATAGATTTAATATGTCGCTAGTAATAACGATTTAGTATTGATTTTTTTTAACGAAACTCGCTTAACTTTTCATTTCCAAACAGACCAAACGAACCAAACCAAAATATGTTACAAAGTGACAACAAGTCTCTTGTCTACCGTCCGCCCAAGGACCAGACTCTGAATTAATCATATCCGTAGAAGCCATATAATTTGTTGATCCCGCTTTGGGCTTACCTGAGCCTATGACTTGCAGACACGACTCCCCATCTCCTGTTTTAGTTTCACAAGTTTTTTTGCTGGAAAAACACAGCACAACCAAAACAAAAACAACATCCAGAACGTGGGAAATAAATAAAGCAAAACAAAAAGAGTAAAAAAGTTTCTCAACTAAGAAAGCCAAAACCAACACTAGCTCATCTTGCGGGGTACAAGTCCAACGCCCGCCTACCCCCCAGTTTTTGGCTTTGCCGGGTGAGCCTGTTGTCCATGGCTCGCCCCAACCCAGTTTTTTCTGCCCGGATATCAATCTCCACCAATGTGCATGCAGATGATGATTCCAACTCCACCCAACAGCGTTTTTGTTCGGCAACCTTTACTCCTTTATCCGGGCTCCCTGGAATCTTCACCTTACCTGCAAAAACAAACGAACTAGAACCCAACTCCAATATCTCTGTTGCCGGTGTTGACATCTCCAATCCCACGGCAGTACCAACCCCCTACTTAATATCTTTCTCAACAACAAGCCACTTGCTACCACCCCCGCTACTAGTACACCCACTACTAGCTCTCATCCACGGCCCAAATTTTTTATGTGTTCTAAATTTGGTTGTCCTAGAGTTTGGGGACAGAATTTGTCTCCATGCCCAATACAGCCACAAGCAAAACAGAACTTTGGAAGTTTTTCATATCTCAAATCTACCCAAAGACAATCTCCATTCATTGTTCGAACCTTTAAATTTTTCTTTGGCGGCTTCCTTATATCCAGACGGACTCGGATCCTCAAGTAAGCCCTCCAACGCCCCTCAAATTGATTTTCGTCAAGTTGAATGAAACATATAAGATAATTACCAATTATTCTAGCAACCCTTCGATTCAGGTGACCTACAGGCAAGTAATGCACTTGGACCCAAAAATCCGAAACAAATAGAGGAACTTTCAAAGGCACATCATCTAGCTTGAGCCCACTCAACACTACAAGATTTTGATCAAACAACCATGGACCATACTCTACAACACGCTTCATATCAATTTTGATGATAAAAAGAGAAGACATACCTCTTATAGCCTATTTCTTTAATTGAGAAACCTCTGACCGGTCTCCAAATAGAAGCCATTCTGTCCCTAAATGCCAGAAAATTGATTCTCTTCTCTGTAAACACAGTACCAACTAGAGACCACTGGGATAGTCCCCCTTCCAACTCTTCCTTCCCGCTCTCATCTGGCAGCAAAATATCCATTAGTTTGTCATCTTCCTTTTCCAATTGCAGATGACCATGGCTATTAACTAACCCCTCATGTTTTCTCATTCTGCCTGCTAAAGAATTCACTAACAAAACTCGAGCAGAAGAAACAGAAACTAGAAAACAAAAACCCAAGCAACTCAAAAAGCGACGATCGATAGGAGAAACACTGCACGGATATTTCTGTTGTCAGAGAAGCTTAGCGGTGAAATTAGGAATTCCACCCCAACCTTGCACCGATTGTCAAAACTAGCGACTAACACGAACCCAAAAAAAATTGATATCCACTAAAAGCTAAAAATATAAACAAAACTATTAACACAGAGAACGACAAATGACATATCGAAATAAGAAGCTAAACCTCCACCAATGAATCCGCACATACGGCGACACTATGAAACCCTACATCGTTAGGGTGCAGACCGCTACTTTGTTCTATGTTATCTTTCTGAAGTACAAATCGTTCATCATTATTGATTAAAAAAGGTGATGGAGTATATGGCCCAGGAACCCCCGGCCCATAGACTCCTACTTCCCCACAGGTCCATTGAGCCGAGGGAACAACTCAGGCCCAAATGCAACGGCCCAAGCCTCGAAGTAGCCCAGAATACACACTGGGGTGCCTTCGGCCTCCGTGGCCGAAGGCTCCAAAACTCACAGGATAGCCTTCTCTGGCATACGAAGCTACTGGGAGAAAACGGCGAAAAACATGAGCCTTCTGCATTATCAAGCCCTCGGCATCAGAGAAGCCTTCGTCTGAACCAAGCCTCCGATCACACAGGGCCTGCGGCTACACAAGGGTCCTCGGTTCCATGGAGCCCTCGGCTACATAAGGAACCTCCGGCCGAACATGCTCAATCATCAAAGATTCCCTTTGAAGACAGCCAACCACCGCATTTAATGCGACGTCACATCCGCCAACCGCATTCAATGCAGTGAACGTACCACTGCCGGTGCCACCCAGCTGATGTGACCCCTCGGCCGTTTGATTACTGACACGTGTACTCTCATCGCATTTATTGCTGCTATAAATAGCAGCCCTTATTCTCCTTGTAAACCACGCTGAGTTCATTTAATAAAATCGACTCTCTCTCCTCCTATTTACTCTGACTTCTCTCTAGTTATTCCCGCGATAACCCCTCGGATAAGGTACCCCCCGGGTAGACTGTCCATCAAAAGGGATTCAAACAAAACAGACAACAAAACATGTTTTCTGATAAAAGAAACCAAGAACTTTCCCACCAACATTCTTGTGCCTTGCTTCTTCATGGTCCATGATGCCAGCAGAGGTAGTGAGCACAATGTAGCCAAACTGTCTTGAAGGAAGCAGCCTGACAGTCCATGATTCAATATCCTTAACACCAACATCAAAACGATGACTAATGACACCACCCTTGTTTAACTTTCGGTTCAGCTCAACCACAATTTTACCAGATCTGTGGTCATCCACATACTCAAACTCCCCGATATATCCATGCTTTTGCATAACCAAAAGGAACTTGATGATCACTTTTGAAGAGGGTCTGATCATGACCTGACGTTTTCCTCTCTTCTCAGCATTATACATGCTCTTGAGGGCATCATTCAACACACTAACTCTCACCATCTTTCAAAGAAAGTCCCCTTATTCATGGTGGAAAGAGGAGCTCCGTCTACAGTGAGATGCGCAGCTGGTGAAGGAGTTTAGGAATATATACAAACTGATGGAGTATATGGCACAGGGACCCCGACCCACAGACTCCTACTTCTCTTACACAGGCCCATCGAGCCCAATGTGCACACGAAGCCCTAATATGGCGGCCCAAGTATGGAGAGGTCCACGGTACACGTCTAGGTGCCTTCGTCCCTATGGCCGAAGGCCCCAGATTCCACAGGGCAGCTAGATTTAAACATACGAAGCTACTGGGAGAAAATGACAGAAAATAGGAGCCTTCGGCTCCTAGGCGCCCTCGGCAAATGGGTGGCCTTCGGTCACACAGAGCCTTCGGCCATAGAGAAGCCTTCGGCTACAGCACACCCAGCGAAGATTCCTTTTAGAGACAGGCAACCACCACATTCAATGCGGCGTCACGTCCAACCACCACATTTAATGCGGTGCACATGCAAATGCTGGTGTCACCCCGATTGAGGTGACCCTCGGCCGTTAGATTAGCGACACGTGTACGCGCTTAGCATTTATGGCTGCTATAAATAGCAAACCCTTTCCCCTTGTAAAAGGATCCCAGAACAAGTTCATTTAATATATTTGGCTCTCTCTCTTACTTGTTTGCTCTGACTTCTCTCTAGGTTATTCCCCGCAATAAGCCCCCGGATAAGCTACCCCCGGGTACGCTATCCATCACAAACATATAGAGTTTTTATCTTAATTTACAACCTTATTTCTTTATATATGTGGCTAATGTTAAAGTCATTATATCACTTAGAAAATTAAAATTAAAAAGTAAAACAATGTTCGACGAATCTAGACGGCTTAGGCAGTCGATTAGGCGCTCTGGACGGGCAACTAGGCGCCATAGGCGTACGACTAATTCACCTAGATTGTAAACCAATTAGTCGGAGCGCTTAGACGAAAATCGGGGAGTCCGGCCATCGCCTAGTGCCTAGGCGGGGACTAGTCGGACGTCTAGAACAATTTTTAGAACAGAGGCTTAGGGTAGAGTACAAGGTAGGGGCGGGGTAGTAGGGTAGGGGTAACGGTAAGGGTAAGAGCAAGGAGTAAGGATAATGTTAAGGGTAAATGCAAAAATTGAAAAAACTTACATGGGAGCTCATTTAATACATGTAGGGATGTATGCTTACTAAGCGTCATTTTAAGCACTTGTTTGGGTTAATAAGTACGAAGTATCTTTTTAATCATCATGTGTGTTTACTTTATCTGTCTTACTAACCTAATTGTGGTTTTAGTAGCGAAGTAAAAACTTGTGTTTACTTTGTGGTTAACTTTAATACCCCGTTTCAAAATACACACTTTTATAGGGGCTGAATGTAGTTTAAGAAAGTGTATTTAGAGGAAAACTTTAATGCATTTAGAGGATCTGGAATTCTGGATCATTCCATTCCGATTCTATCCATTTCAAACGAGCTAGTCGGTTTCAGAATAAATATATTTCGATATAAATAACTTAGAAAAAAATGTCGTTGTAATTCCCATGTAGAGATGGAGACATAACCAGCATTCTAGCCGTCACTCCGTCAGATATCCTTTTTGTTGTGTACTGGTGGTGGACAATTGAAGCTTCCTTGGAAAAAAATTCACCAGCCCAAGCCTTTTCTTTCCTCTGAAATTTTCAAGCAAGGTCTTTTCAATGGTCAATTGGTCAATGATGTCACTGGTGGAATATATTGTGGACCAAATTGATTAGCATATTAGATGAACAGTAGGCTGATTTTAGGTTTGGTAGGCTATAAGCGGAAAGTGATTTGCCATTATTGGATAAGGATTTTGCTGTATCCCAAAATGGGGTACCCCATTTGTCCCCCACCCTATTGGGTGGCCACAAATGAGGCAACTCATTTAAGTGGGGTACCACTTAAATGAGTTGCCTCATTTGTGGCCACCCAATAGGGTGGGGGACAAATGGGGTACCCCATTTTGGGGTATCAATAGCTTTTTCGTATTGGATAATGACTCCTAAACTAATTGTATAATACTGCATTTGTGTAAAGACAAATCAACAGGAGGCTCTACCCAGTCCCTCATTATTGGAAGTTTGGAACATACAAGGGAGATATTATTTTTTTCTTGATATAATACGGAGTAATACCATTATAAGATGATTTTTTTTCTTGAATATACTTGAATACCGCATTTTATATGTAAAGATCTTGTTAAACTGGATGATCTATTCAGAATCTAAATAGTGAGATTGTTAATACTAATTTCCCAAAGATTCTCCCAAATATATTCCAAAGGTTTTCAAGAAAATTTTCATAGATAAAATATAAACTACTACTACTTCCATGATTGGTCTAAGGGAGTGATTTTTTAAAAAAGTGATTTTTTAAAGTGATTTTGGGAAAAGTGATTAATAGTAAAAGTTGGTAGTGTTTGAGAAAAAAGTGATTCTGGAAAAGTAAAAGTTGGTAGTGTTTGGTAAAATAAGTACTTTTTGTGTAATAGAAAAAGTGAGAAGCAGTTTAAAGCACCCTTCTACCTACTTCCAACTTTTAGCTTTTGAAAACACTCTTTTCAACTTTTAAGCCAAAAGCTGTCATTTGAAAACACTCTTTTCAACTTTTTAAGCCAAAAGCTGAAAAGCGCTTTTTTTAAGCAAACCCAAACACTCCTTAAATATATACTACTATCTCTCTCTCAATTTGTTTTTGTAAAGTCAACATTTTTTTGTCAACTAATATTAATAATTCAATGTTAAGATTTAAAATTTACATATTAAAAAACTACATCAAAATCTATAAAGTTACAAAATCTGAATTAAAATTTAATTAAGATTTGATATCATAATTAAATAAGTGATTAAAATGAAATTGTTTGACTCAAAAAGTCAAATTTTGCAAATCAATTTGGGACGAATGTAGTATTTCTTTCCCTTTAAATTATTCTTTTAGCAATACTATTAAATTATTCTTACATTCATTTCATTTTCCATATATTTTCACTTTCACATTATTAATACACTCCACCATATATTACATTTATATTACACTTGTCAACATACATTATCACTTGAATAGTATCAGGAATGTACTTTGAAACTAATGATCTTGTTGATTTAATTTGTTTGCAAGTTGAATCTTCAAGCAATCGCTTCGTATGAATGATTAGGTAAGACCTAGAGTGGGATCAAATAAGACATTTCCACTAAGCAATGGCTTAGTATGAATGATAGCAATTAGCATATCAATATTATATTGACTATCATTTTATTCTTAAGCATTTATCATGGCATTCCCATAACATAATCCAATATATACCAACTTAACTCGAGTTTTGGAAAATATGCACATTCAAAGTTTGAAACGGTATGTCTTATTGTGTAATTTCAAAATCATGTACTTATTTTATACGTATATAAATATAATGTCATACACCGAGTCTCACGAACGTATATAAATACTAGCATTAGCACGCGCTTCGCGCGAGAGTGGATGCCCAATGGGAGAACATGGGCTGTGAAAAAGGGCAGAATATGCAGAAAAGAAAAACCAAGAAATAGTAAATTAACATTTCAAACTATTCAATGGAATGCAGTTTTAAAAGTATTCATGGTTGTTTGTAGAGAACCATCAGTGAAACAATACACAAGAAATAAGCAGTAGCACATCAGCATAATAGGAAAACATTGTAGGGGATTAAGTAGTCCCAGCAATGTTGGTGAATGCTTTGTATGTCTGTTTGTGACAAGACCTGCTGGGGGAGGCAGGGTAAGACCTTGCTGCAAGAAATGGGTAAGTTTTTGCTCAAGCTCAGCTTTGTTCCAAAATCTTGTTGGCAAGAACCTGTCCAACCCTGAAACAATGAAAAAGCGCTGCCAGTCGTTGCTGGGGTGGCAGTCATACTGGGTGCCGACTGCTTTAGTGATAATGGCAACAACAAGCTTCCGATCGTGAACGGTATGAAGGAAATAGGTGAACGTAACATTCCCCTCATTGTCCTGGGCAGGCCTCACATTAATGGTGGTGAACAAATCCATGATTCTGGACAGGGTAACAAATCTGGAAAATCAAACAAAGCATTTGGAGGGGGCTAACAAAGATTCCATTCCATTGGGTTAACATCACATAAAAGAATACCAGCAGTAATTAAACAGGTAAATTCCCAAAACCAACACAGTTCCCCAACACAAGCCCCCCGGCAACCAAGGCCAAGCGCAGGGGTGTCTTGAGCATTTCGGAGGCCCTTGAGATTTTGTTTGCACTATGCCTCTTGAGGGAAAGGTACAAAGAAGTTTTTAGTATAAATCCATGCAGGAAAAACAATGTCTAAGAATTAAAACCAAAGTATTTTAGATAGATTAGTTACTTAGATAGATAGTATAAATTCTTGACAGATGGAGTACTTATATTACAAGGGCCCACTAACCTATAGAGTTTTTTTTCTTTCAAAAGCAATATAAATCTTACCCTCCAAATGAACCAAGCAAATTCTAAATATTTGATCGACTTAGAAGTGCTTTAGTTTGAAAATATTTTTTGAAAGAAATTTGGAATTCACAATTCATTTGACACTTACAAAGAGAGAGAGACGACGTAGTTCTGCATAGTGATGCAATCTCCAAGCCAATGAAATGGCATCTTGTGTCAATTGTAGAGGTAATTTGAAAGAGAATGATATTCAATTATATTCAGAAAACAGAAAATGCACACATCGGGTTATGGGTTAAAACAAAATGTGGAGCTTTACAGCTGAATTTGTTTTTTAATTCAATCACACGTATTCATATGAGCTAAGTTAGTTTTCATTTGAAGCTATGTGGGTTTTGCATCTTATAATTTTTAATTTATATAGTTTTCCATTATTCAGAACTTAATAATTAAGCTACCTCTGTGTTAAAGGTTGCTTTCATTTTCCTATTATGTTAAGATAAATTTGTATCTATTTTTCATGCTGTTGTTAGTTGACTATGAGATTTTGAGTAATATTAAAATAGATACGCAATTACATGTGGCATAT